CCATTTAATAATTATATAATTAGTAAATAAATCAGCATCATAAATCAGCATTATTTTTTAATATTATTAATTTTTCAAATGATTTATCGTTCAATCTTTGACGATTTGGTCTATTAACCATATTAGCAAAGCTAAATAATCTTTCAACGGGGGCTGAGGAGGGTAATATTGTTTTATATTTAATAAATATTTCTTTTATATATTTATAACTATTTAACATATTTATACTCCGCCTGTCATCTTTCATATAATTTAGGACCTCTATTTCAATATCATTTATTGAATTATTAGAATTGGATGTGGTACTTTTAAGGAAAAAGTAATCATCATCTTCATCAATTGAAGATTTTGTTGAAGTATTAATTTCAATATTATTTTTAAAAACAATTAAAACTTCATGTAATAACAAATCCTGAAGGTATTTTTTTTCTTTTTCACCATCAATCCAACGATTTTTAAAATAGGCATGAGAAATAGTTGCCAAAAATACACTTTTAAAATTGTTATCAAAATCATATATATTTTTAAATCTTTTATTCAAATAATTTTATATGGCAACTGTTAATGGTTTGAAAAATTGTAGATTGGTTTTAATTAAATTTGTAATTTTTTTTAACGACATTTAAAATTGGAGCTGATTCTTCATAATAGCAGTTGATTTAACTCTGTATTTTATCAATCGCTATAGCCAATGGGGCCATTATATTGCAATATTCTTCTAAATATTGAATTTTAATATCTCTTAATTTAGGAAATTCTAATTTTTGACATAATTTAGGAAGTTCGCCTTTAAATTTTAATAAACTATAAAGACTATCATACAAACTATTCCATCGAGTGCAACAAGGTATAACTAATTGTTTTCCTAAAACTGCTTTGATAAGTTCTGCAGTTTTAGGCCTATTATTTGCATTCCATAGCTTAGTACATTTAGCTATTGCAGGATGATGAATTTTAGAAATGTTAGAATAATAGCTCTCTCGACATCTGTTGCGGCAATTAGACTTATCGTATGGCACAAACAACGAATGTGTTGAGGCAATGTTATTGAGGCTTCTTTAGACCCTTAAATAAACAAATAAATAATTTTATTTGAATAAATTTTTTTTACTAAATTTACAATATCATAATAAATTTTAAAGAAGTATTAAATAATACTTTCAATGATTTCGAATTCTATACATTCATCATCATTGATGTCAAAGTCATTCTCTACAGCTTCTATTGAATATCCAAACTCCTTAAAAGCTTTCTTAAAGTTAGAGCTGTTATCTGTAAGAGTTGCTATAACTTTTTCGTCAATACCAAAGTCACGATGAATTTCTTTATTATGATCATCTTGAAGTACTTCAAAAAATTTGCCATTAAGTTTGTTTAATTTTTAAATTTATTGTTATAATTTTCGGTTGAAGAATCATCTGAAGACGAGATAAACATATTATTCTATTTTCTTCTTCCATAATTTTAAAATAGACAGATATAAAACGATTCAAATATGGTAGTTCTAATTGTTAGCAAATTGCTATATGACGACCAACGTCATATATCAAAAATTATCTTAAAATATCTAAATTTTGATTAAATTTTTCATTTAAATCTTAAAACAATATCATTTTAAATTTTAATACTATTTAAATTAACCAATATAAATTTTTTTTAAAGTATCTGTATCTTTTTGAATACAAAGTTGGTTAAGATACAAATACTTTTGAATAATATGTATCTTAGATACTGGATACAAGATACTTTCCAAAATTTTAAAAAATTCAAATACAAATATCCGCGATACTGCCCAACCCTGTATGTTGCATATAATCATAGTCATTATTTTTTAAATAAAAATTGTTTCTGAATAATTTTCTGCTTCTAAATGTAATTTAAAAGGGTTAGACATAGTGTTGTTAAACGGCTAGATTTTAAAAGCGATTAACCCAAGATTTTAGCCAAAAACATTATACAAGCCTGGGAATTTTGCTTATAGATGTCAGAAAGGTTTGGACATACATTAAGGAAATCTCGAGGTTTACATAAAATTATTTTGGTTAATCAATTTAAAATTGGATAGCCGTTTCAAGTAGTGCTGCATAGTCGTCGATGAAAGTGACCCTATTATTGACAGTGTTCCTTTATGAGTAACGCCTATGCAAAATATTACTTTAAATTTTTTCTTAAAAATTATAGAAAAAATATAAAAGGTTTTTATGAATTGCAAAGTATCCTATTTCAAACAGGTTGTATTCTATATAAATTTAGCAAAAAGTTTTCTCGTATATTTTATCACTATTTTTAAACTTTAGACACTGATAGTAAGAAAATTTTAACACCAAAAAATTCTATTTAATTTATCTCTTCTAATAACCATGATGCAAAAAGAGTCTATGAAGATTTCATACATCCAAAAAGATGGAATCTGCTCAATAGAATTATTTTCAAGACTCCTTGTGCTGCAAGAAAGAAACTGCATAAACATGTTCGACAAGATGGAGACCTCGACATAAAACATTTCCACAATTTTTGGATCTAGAAGAACCTATTTTGACTATCCTAGGAGAGATATCAGAATGGTCTGAACCATATATTTTACCTGAAGCTGATAAGTTATTAGAAACAATATGACAGCAGATTTTTTTGAGCTGGAATTTATTAATTATTTAATTACACATTTTATGCAATATTTTCAAAAAAATGATTTGAATTTGGTTATGTGATTGTTGAGGCAAAGCGAAATTACAGATTCGCAAGCCTCGACTAGCACTTAGAAAAACAAATTCTTCCAATGTAAACGAGGACAATTGAGGATTACTAAAATAGCCGTTTTTATTCCACTTTTAGATTTTAAATAAATTTTTGCCCATCAATGAAGAATTTCTGATTCATCAAATGGCTCTACCCAATTTACGAGTATATAAATCTTTTTGTTGGGGATATATTAAATAAAGATTTGGCTATTAATTTCAGTAGATAATTTTCCAAGAAAACACAATAGAAGCATTGCATACTTTAAACCATATTCTGGATTTTTTTCCAAATATATTAAAATTACTGTATATTTTGGCAACAATACCAATTAGTTCTTCATACAAAAACCTATCTCAAAAGTATGACATTATAAAATTAAATGAATGGATTATAGCTTAATATACATCAGGATTTAATCCCCAATAGAGCAAAATATAGAATTATTGGCACAATCGCAAAGAATATAAATTGTCCTTTATTAACGATACATTTTAAATAATTATATAATGTTACCGTGATTTATACACCGGTTTATATAGCTTACTAATTTTTAACAATATCATATTCACTCTTTAAATTTTTTGTATTTTTCAATATTCTTTATTTTTGTTTTAAATTGTCATTTTTTAAAATACGATTGGTTATATATTAAATTTCATATAATAAATAGTTCTAGCAATTTTTTAATGTTCCAAAAATTTCATTATAAAAAAATTATCCTCCCCCCTCCTCCCCGGTAGAAAATTCCTGGCTGCGCCTGATGGTTAACACGCTAATAAATGAAATGAGCTTTATTAATATTTGTATTCAATGCCTTTCTCTAATCATATATTAATGTTACTAGGAAAAAAATTATATAAAATCTAATTGAATCTTAAAATATTATTTTATTTTCATCAATTTTTTTTTAATATAGAAAATGATCGGATAAGTTTTTTCATAAAAATCTTATATCTTGTGTATATCTTCTTAAGAACTTGCCCAACTCTAGTTATTGGATTTATGCTAGAATGCTCTATCCCAAAAGTTTGCAAGTCTATAATAATTCATGAGCATTACTACTATTAAAAGAGAAAGACGTTTAAATATTAACATTGATTTCTGGTTGTATTTTTTTGAACAGACCTTGAGTCGACTGTCAACAAAACCCTCCATGGCCAGTCCGTGAGCCTAAAAATCGATTATGCGGGTCTCTGGTCACCGATATAAGAGTGTGAATTAATGATACTAATATCATGTTTATTTTATATGGCAAGACACTTATATCATATTTAATAAGTTTTACTTTAATTAAAACTAAGGCAAGTAATTTATTAATATTACTTGAGCTGTTTTAAGTGTGATCATTAGAAATATCTACATTCGACTAGGGGATTTCAAGTGGGGTAAAGTAAAACGAAATAATATGTATGTTTGTTTTTTTATTATATTTTAAATACTCAACTTCAAAAAGCCCCTTCATGCAGATTGCAGAAACAAGCCTGATGGATATTTTGCTGATGAAAAGACTCAATGCACATGTTATTATAGATGTTTTGGTTATGAAGCTATCGATTACCATTGCTGTGTACAAGGTGAGTTATTCTTAGTTGTATTTAAAATTTGTATTTTTGATAAAATAAAATTTATTCTGAAATAAGATTCTGTACCAGCCAATATGTCTTTAGGTGAGCAATGTAAAACTAAAATACAAAATTTGTAGCTTTATCTATTTAACAAACCTCTATATATTATTTATCACTTCTCCCCCTTCCACATTTTACTCAAAATTAAGGTTTGATATTCAATGAACGAGCCTTAGGTAAAATACCAGATAAATCTCCAGAAAATCCAGTGTGCGACTTTTATCAAGAAGCCCGGAGGGACTGCCCCAGGATATCCGGATTTGCTGATATGACTTGTGTTAGGGTCCCAGAGGATAAATTTTACGGTACTGTGGATGATGGCTGCAAGAGTTTTTATGGTTGTTTTAGAGGAGCTACGCTTATAAGAGATAGGTGCCCCGAAAATTTGCTTTTCGATGATGAAATGCAATCTTGTAATTACCCCGAGTTTGTAAACTGCGGTAGAGGCAAATAAATTTTAAAAAATGTTAGTATATAAGGAAGAAAAAATTAATGATTCTGTTATTTCGGAAATTTTTTTTATATTAAAATATTTAGAAACCAAAACATTTTTTTATAATATTGATATATTTATTAAAAAAATTTTCACATTGTCAATAACTTTATATATATATATGTATATTAAATTATATAAACAAAAATTGTCATCCAATTAGTTAATTAGCAAATTCATAAATAATGTTCTAATTTATTTCATTCTCATTTCATCTTAAATAAAATAATATTGTATGCAATAATATTATAATGATCAATAAGAATTCTCATACGTAATAAAACAAACATCTTAACAAATATTCAATTAAATGCTTCTTCATAAGTAAGACTGATCATTATAATAAGGATTTTGAACCGAATTTATATTATAAGATTGATTAATGAGAGATGTATTTAGGGTAGCAGGATTTGAAGTCTGAAAATTTGCATTATTAAAGCTTCCCAAAACCAAATTGGGCTTAAAACTAGTAATAAATGGGGAAATCATAGAATAATTCTGCCAATCTATCGAAGGATTACTCTTAAACTTTTTTGTTTGATCGTTATGTAGAGAGGGATTTTGAATTAAAGGCCTGTTGTTGGAAACAATATTATTGGCAACAGGAGCAGGTAGAGGTAACAAGGAAGTACCTGGTTCATTTTTAAGGATAGGTGGACATGACAATGTTGAAGAAAACTTTTTATCCATCATAAGAGGAGATGGAAGAGAGATATCCATGAGTGATGGTATATTTGAGCTAGGTAAGTTTTTGAATAAAGGTTTCGAACCCGAATTGACTATATAATCTGTGGATGTTCGCGGGTTGGAAAGCAAGGACATAGTATTATTAGGGGTATTATAAATGTTACGCACCTTTTTTAAAAAGTTAGGGTTATTGTTGTGGTGATCTTTAAAACCATTATTATTGCTAACTTGATTTGTATTGCTTAAAGTATTCATGTTCATATTAAACATAAGATTAGGATTGCTTAAATTTGTATCATAATTGTTCATACTGTGCATGATTAAATTGTTCTTAGGATTCAAATTGTCCATACAGTTAGTGTTATTCATATTGGCCATCATATTATAGCGATTGTTGTTCATCATATCATTCAAGCTATTCGTATTATTAGTCATATTTAAAGTGTTATTTACACTATTCATATGGACCCCGCTTATGTTGGTCATATCATTTATATTCGATTTTATATTGCTCACGTTGGTAAGATTATTGTTCATATTGCTAAAATTATTTATCATAACGTTGTTTTGTATATTGGTCATATTATTCATCATTACATTGTTTTGTATATTGGTCATATTATTCATCATTACATTGTTTTGTATATTGGTCATATTATTCATCATACTGTTCATCATATAAACGTTATTCATCATGATATTGGGATTGAAAAAATAGTTGTAATTAGGAAGCAATCCCGAGGCATTTACATTGCAAAACTGTTCGTGATTGTTCAAAATGTTATTATGAAGAAGAATAGAGGAATCAGACAAGAAACCCATTTGTATCAGGGCAAATTTGGCTGCTTCCATTCTAGCAACTTTTTTACTTTCACTAGGAGCGGGTGGCACATATTTTCGGCCTTTGACAATTACCTACATGATCGTGATACATAATATTTGTGTTAATAATCTGTTTATACTTATTTAAACTCTATATAAATATTTTACAATTATAAAAACAGTAAAAAATGTCATTAAAATCAATTTGTTTAAAACTTTTTTATATCAATAAATAGCGTAGAGTAAGTAAAACGAATATAATAATAATAATATTGTGCATTCAAAAAAAAATACAACAATATTAATATTTAAAAATTACATAAAATAAATTATATAAAATTGCTCTATTTTCCCCTGAATTATTCTTATAATTCTGATGCTAATAAAATATTTTAAAAACTTTCAAATAAATTATTTTTAAAAAATTATATAGCACCTGCATCAAAAATGGGTTGTAAGATAAATCGCTGAATTCGGGGTCTGACCATTTCATTTTTTGACAAATTTCATTAAGAGCCGACACAGGATGTTTAACTTAGAGATAAAACGAAATAATCATAAAATATATTTTATAATATTATATTTTAATTAGTTTTTGTTAGTGATATATTACCTAGAGATGCTTGGAATCGCTCATCTTTGGCGAATTCTGATAAAGATCTTAAACCTAATTAAAAAGAATAAATTAGTTTTTTTGCTTATATATATAAGATAACCCGTAGAGGTACCCATAGCCCAACCCGGATTTGTGAATTTTACAGCTGCCCTGCCCCGATTTTTGGTCGTACTTGTTTTTAAAACAGGACATTTATAAAAATATAAATATGCTGGTCGTAATATTGGTTTGTTTAAAATGAAAATAAATAATATGAGAGATAGATTATATTTTAATTTTTAAGTGTTCTGTTAATTAAAATCAGGTTCTAAAAATATTTTAAAGTTTCAAGCATGAGGGTCTCTGAAACAATGTAAGTACAATAAATTGTTCTATATTTTTGCGAACGTATAATATAATAATAATGTCAATCAGATATTTTATATGGCTAAATAAAGTATTTTAACTCAAAAAATAATTATTGATAATTCAAATTATTTATTATAATTGATAGTTAAATATTATTAATAAAATCTAACCAATCCTATCGTATTTGAGTTCCAATTTGATGGAGTCACTATCGTCGATGTCTCTTTCCATCCTACCCAAGGTTTTGCCTGGTTTCCAACCCATCTTATTCATCAGTTTCAAGGCCACGTTACTAGGCTTATAGTTATGGTCTCGCATTAAATAATCCTAATATAAAATGGGAAAAACATTCTTAAGATATAATTCTGACTTTTAACCAAGAATGATAAATAATATTTATAAGAGGCGATTCATAAATTTTTCACCAATCCGATAATAATACATACCCCAATACCTGATACTTACTTATATTGATTTTTTTTACCAGATATCCTTAAACGAATTTCATATAAAAATTAATTTTCTATTTAAAAATAAACAACTAACTTTCACCAATGATTAAGTATATTTTGTTTTTTTACTCCATAACAGTTAATAATCACATTTAAAATATGGAATTGATTTATCGCTAAATCAAGATTTTAGCCAAAAATTAATATCTATGTCTAGTTCGGCAATAGGAGTCAGTTCAAACCTTTCTACCTCTGTGGGCAAAATCTTAGAGCTTAGATAATCTTTTTATCTTAATTTAGCTTTTTTAAATCGGTTAAACGAGCAGTTTAATTACACTAGCTAAATATGAATTGTTAGATATCTTACAATCCTTTTCTTGTTACAGATATTATAACATCAAATTTTTCTTTTAAAATAATTCAATTTTATAAATAAATTTAATATTGGTTTCTTTTATTAATTTATAATTATTATGAAATTAATTATATATAAAAAATGATAATATAATTTACACAATAATAAAATAACGGAAAAAAAATATATATCGGATCGGATCAGTTTTTTGAAAATATCGACCTGATCCAATATTTAATATCGGACAGCCCTAAATACTTATACCAAATTGAACTGCCTACTTTATTATTTTATAAAAATCGGATCAATTTTTTTTCAATTTCTAATAAAAAAATTAACAATTAAATCTTCTAACTGTAATTTGAGCTTTTTATAATTAGAGGTTCTCATTAATACGAACAATTCATCATTTTCTGCTTATTTTACAACTAATTTGTTAAAAGTGGATGCATATTTAATTTGATAAGGAAACAAAAGAATTGGCCCAATTGACCTTGGAATACAAATATTTTGCGATGTTTTGAGGAAAAAAAAATATATACTATATATTTAAACCGTGGGCAAATCAGGAACATAAGCATCGTTAGGATTTTGCGATTTTTTCTCCAAAGGTTTTTCAGGATTCGTGGTCACTTTAGTATGCCATTCGGCTATCTTTAATTTTATATAAAAGATATTTTTTTAATTTTTAATAATACCTTCGTGATCAAGTATTCGTGAACATTTTTATATTATATTTAAGGTGTACTCGATTAAAATACAGAACTTGATGCGCTTATATTAAAAAAATATACAAATGGGTAAACAAAGCACAGATTGTAAAATTCGTATCCTAAGATCATCGTAATGCATCAAATGTAATGTGTTTTATTATGAAATAAAAATAATAGATGATAAATAATAGTCATTATTTGCATTAGAATATCATTGATGATGTGGAACATGTATTTCCTTTATATAAACTTCAAATAAATTTTCTAATGTGTTATTTGAGTCTATTCCATATTAAATATTAGGTTATACCTTTAATAAAATTGTCGACAGAAAAAAAGGTCGCAAAAATGGTTTAAAAAAACTTATAATCGGATAATAAAATATGGTTAATGTTTTATTGTAATTAAGCATTAGAAAGAATAAGATTGGTATAAACATTCAGTGTATATAGTGATGGTATTATTATTTATTAATTAGAGGTTAATAACCTTACCGTACGTTTTCATTTATAAATTATTAAATAAAATATATATTATTAACGAATAAGATTTCAAAAACTGATCAACACAACTTCGTTTTTCAATCCCTTATTAAGTCGATTTTTTAGTCAACCCCTAATAATTTGTAAATATGTGTATTAGATGTCATTTTTATTAGTATATTGGAAAAAGTAAAAAGATATAGACTATGTTAGAAAAGGCATGACATATTCTTAAATACCCTTTCAATCATAATATAAACTAAATGCATTATTTTCATTTATTAACTTTGCTAATGGTTAAGGAAGGAACGGTTTTAATAATCAAATATCATTGCGCAATTGTAATAAAGCTTTTAAAAATATCACCGTAGCTGGAATACTTCATCGTACTTCACGCGGTAAACGAAGTAGAGGTTAGATCAGTAATGGGATATGCTAAATCTAATATGCAATCTATTCAAACCATAACACCCAACCATCTGCCGAAGAGCTAAATAAAGTGCATGGAGGCCGGTTGCTTTGGAAAAGAAAGATCCTTTCCCTAACGAGAACCGAATAATAATAACAATAATATTCTATAATTGCATAATGATATTTGACTATTAAAAAAATGCTAATATACTCCCAGGAAAATAGGAGAATATTATGAAGTTTGATACTATCTATAAGGAACTTTTTAATCAAGATATGATTATCATTTACATATAACCTTATAAAAAAACAATTATGTTTAGCAAGTAAAACTAAATAAAAAGAGAAAATAATAGGACTTATATTATTATTTATGTATTACATTCACCTTCAACTATTCCAAAAATTATCCATTGGTTTTCAACGAGATTCTGTACCTGTTAAACGTCAGAAGGCTAAGTTTAAATTTTTTTTATTAATATCTCTTAGACTAATTCTATATTTTTTAATAATAACAAAAATATATGTATTTTAATAGATGGGCAATATTAAAATACATATTAAATTAAAGCACATCAGGTTATTTCTGCGAAACGCATTACTGATAAATAATAATTTTGCTATGTAATATTAAACGCGAAGTTACTTATTAGTCTAAGTATAAAGTGATTTGGATCGAAGTTAATTTATATGGGGTAACTAGGGCTAGATTAATATTTTGGTGCTATGGAACTAGTTATGGGGTAGTTTGATTTTTGTTTTAAAAACGGGTGCATTATATAGTCTCTTATATTTAAAATAATTTTCAGACCAATCAAATAAGTTGCGTATTATAAATATAAATAATGCTTTCGTTGTAAAGCATTTCGCGGAAATTATATGTAACCAAATTAAGGTCCAGTGGGGTAAATAGACTCAAATTATGAGAAGAGTAAATGAGATTATGGAGAGGGTTATCATAACTTAACACTTTTAAAATGACTAGCATCTATAAAAAAAATATTGTAATTCATGATTATTATATTTTAAAATAGTAAGGATGTACCTCCGGGAAATTTTACTATAATGGAAGAAATTCTATGGAAAAAATGGTAAAAGAGATAGAAAAAATGGGAAATTTTGAGTGAATATTGTAACAATACCTTACTTAATATGTTATCAAGTATGAAGAAAATTACATTAGTATTTTATTAACTTTATTTATTAAAAATATTATTATAAATCATAAATATTGATAAAATTAATATATTCCATATCGGTATCGATAGACATGATTGAATCGTGGAATTAAAAAGGGAACCTAAATAATTACCCGTTATTTTATTATCATATGAGCGAGCTGTATCAATATCTATTAAATACGAATTGGATACACTAATAAGTATACCAATTTTTTTTAACTTTTCCATTATTTAACCTTTCTAGACCATATTCTTTTCTATGCCTTACTACACTGGTGGGTGACATTGATAAAAGTCATAACTGCTAATATAATTATTAAAATACAGTTCCTTCCATAATGGTAGCCGGTCTAAGAATCATACCCTTTCCCAAACATCTGTTCCACTCCAAAAACATTCATTTGGACGTTATTTTGCCAACTAATATTTAAATTTAGGTTTTGAATTTAATTAAAAGTTCAATTATTAATAAATTTTGACATCTGTTTAATTATTATAGCAGAATAGTGAATCTAATATATTTGCTTTTTACTGAAAAGAATAACAAGGAAAAATTATAATCATGTTAATATCGCAATTGGAATATTAAGATGGAATGCAAATCTATAAATCTTAAATTGCATTATACACTTACGATATCATTGTACAAGCCCCAAAGTTTAAGTACCTTTAATAAGTGACATTTTAAAAACATTATCTAAATTGACAAAATACAATTGTTATAAAATGCTTCGAAACTGTTAGATTCGGGTTTCATTTTAATTTTTTTCTTCTAATTTGTAAAACTAATTGCATCATAATAATTAGTAGGGAAATTGTATGAACTACAAATGAAGAAAGCGGTATTAACTAGTGTTGTAAATTGTTTGGTTGGGTCGAATAACCAAATGGGTCGATCTGGTCGATCAAATTCATAGAATCGGACTCTGGCAACGACCTGATTATCAACCCAAAACCAACTTAACGTATTTTATTGTGAATATTTTACTTAGTCATATTTTTATGAATAGAGGATGAGAAGTTCAATATTAGCATAGAAATAATTATCTTTATTAATAGATCCCCTTTTATACAAATTTTTCTCTTCTTAATCTGAAAATATTTAATATTTTTACTTTACACTAGAAATCGAGTTTGTGATCATAAACTCAAATTAAAAACTCGAAGACGAGTAATTCAATATTTTTTTAAAAAATTTTTCATATCTTGATCTGCAAATATTATATATATTTTTCACTATCAACTTGAGTCGCGAAATCGATTTATGATCGTCTAAGATTAATATTGTTAAAGCTCCGTTTGACATTTAGTTTGAGTTAGTTAAAATTTTTGTTTATATTGCGGTATTGACGCCTTTGGTATATCCCGAATACCTTACTCTAATTTATTTCTGATCATGATGATAGTTTTAGGTTGCGGTTCAGGGAAATTTTAATGAAGAAAAATAAGAAATATTATAATTATAAAAAATGAAACTATTAATTATCTTGCATTATTTTGCGATGAGATTTATTGTAGTTATAGAATATTCTAAACGAGTTGAATGGTTTTTAAAAGTTTAAAATATTTCAATGATTATATTAGTTAATAATTTCAAACTGTCATTTTAATACTAATAATAAAATTTTCTATAAATTAAATAGTAACTCGAGAAGTAGTTCACTTCAATATTAATTAAATAATTAGCATCGAGTTAAAAATAATTTTGTCGATATATCAAATATCACCAAAAAAAAATGTGGGTAAGCATTTATTTATTTAATTAATAATTTTTATTGGATCTGTCCTAAAGTCGTAAAAATTGGCTTAGGTCGAGTTTAATTTTAAGACGAAATGTGTTTATTTGTTATTTAACCCTAATTCGCTAAACATGGATGTGCACATGTCTTTCAAAATTTTTGATATTGCCACCCCCTCCCCACATTTTTTTATATAATTCAAAATATTCTACATCCGGTATACATATGCACCATAAAATTACAAGAAAAATCTAGTATGATAAGTGATTTTTCTTAAATTGTGGCTTTAATGTAAATTGGAATTAGAAGAAATCAATCATGAGTATTCTATAAATTTGCTTAAGTGTTTGGATTGTCGGCAGAAATATCTGTTTAACAATGTAATTAGAAGTGGGATTTATATGGATCCCAGGTTACCAAAATGGAAATCCATCAATTGCTGATAGGATAAATTTATAATCTCTTACTTTAAATAAATCTATTTTATTTTAGGATCATCTGATGTCTACATGGAAACAAATTCAAATGTTTGATAAGCCAAAAGTTTTGATAGTTATGATGAAATTTTTATGGATCATTAAATTAAAAATTAAAAAATAGATCTTATAACTTGATAAACCATGATATAAACAAAAGATAATTATCTATAAATATTAAAATATGTGTGACCTTTGTATAAAATACTAGTTTGATTTCCTCCGAAATTTTATTTAATTCTTCTAAACTTATAAATTGGTTATTTTGCAATAAACAATTAAAATTATATATATTCAATTGCTCACTATGACTAGTGTATTGTTAACTCGGTATTTTTATATCATAATACCGAGGTTCAAGAGAGACCGGGGATAGTGTTATACCGTGAAATTTTTTTAAAATATTAATTAACCATAGATATGTAATAAAACTTCGTTAAAATATCTTTGAAAATTTGCTTAATCTATTTTTTATAGCACTTCAATTTTATATGGATAAATATAACCCTGGTCCCCCATAGTAGATTTTTGTATTGTGACAATCTAGGTTTAATATTATTGGATTCGTCACTGCTTACAATTATTCCCCACCAAGCTCACATAAAAAAAAATTTCTAAAATTAATTAAAAACAGATCGCATATACATTATAA